ATGATGTAGCTGGCCATCTTGTCAATGACCATTTGCACATCTGGAGGAGGCCACTTAATGCTACTATACTCTGTGTCCCGACAGTCCATCTCTTTGCTTAGGCACCGTTCATTTTCATCCATCTCCGAATCATTGTTGTCATCATCTGAATTATGTTCTGCTGTCTGATTGAATGAAGGATAATCAACCAAGCTAGTGATCTTGGGAGAACCTACTGGTGTGATGTCTGTCTGTAACTTCTTTTTCTTCAGGGGATCTCCAACCTCTGCTGAGGCTGCAGATACCGGCGTTGATGAAGCAACCAGTACTGGTGCTGGTGAGTCTTTACCCTCTACTACCACAGTGCCTTTCTGTTTTTCTTTAATCTTGTGTATTAGTTTTGAATATGCACAATCAGCTGTTGGCTTGTGAATGGCAGTGGGGGTGTTCCAGGTGCAAGATCAGGCTTTATGCCAGCTGAGAGGCTTGGATGCAGGTATTGACCTTCACTTCCCTCGCTCTCTTTCCTATTTCTTCCTGACTCTGCTTCCTCACTTGGCCGATATCTGAGGAATTTTGTAGAGCTAGCATTGAATTTCTGTCTTCCATTATGTAACAAATATATTTATTTGCTGTATATTACATGAATTCTAATTTTCCATTAAACTTGTTTTTATACACTAGAACTATATATTTAATGTAATCAAAACAGCAAAATAAGCTCATTTAAATAAAAGGAAAAAAAAAAAAAAATGAATAGTTTAATTCTATAAAATCTCAGCTTACCTGCCACTTTTTATCATGGATACCATATGTTTGTAGTAAGCATTTAATGGGTTGTTCAAAGGAGAGAAAAACTAAACATTGGATTTCCAGCTTGCTTTGTCTTGATTACAATCTCCATCTGTCCACCTTGTGTCACAATGAACTTGGATGTTTTAACTATGATCTTATTTTGCTTCACAGTCTCTGGCTAGAAAAAGAAAAGTTTCCATTGGGTAAAATTAGCATTATTTCACTAAGGAAAAAATGCAGATAAGTCATTAAAAAATATACAAGTATTAAGTAGGCTACTTTTGCCCTCTATGTAATAAAACATCTGACTCTAAGAGAAATAATGCAAAACATTAATAGCAAATTTTCATAACGCAAAATTAAACCAATACCCACCACAATCATCCCAGGTGGAACATTCAAGTCTGGCGGTGGCACAAAAGTATCTTCATCAGCCTCTGGAAAATACCCTGTATATTGCTCCTGCTGCTGTTGTTGTTGCTGCTGAAGTTCAGCCTGCTGCTGTAATGCGCCCTGTTTGTTCTAGTATCTGCTCTTCAGTCAAGGCAACACCTCCCTCAAGAACAGCCTGCCCATCATAGCTAAAACCCACCTGCTGTATGTATAGGTGTCAGATCCAGTTCACTGATCAGCCGTTTGGCTTCCTCATCTGAAAAAACAATTTGAAAACAATGACTTTAAAAATCATCCTGAGAAAAGAGAATTTACACATGTGAACAGAAGAAGTAAATTACATTTTTCTCTTATATGATTCTGATTTTATACATGCATATATCTGGTTAAAAAAGTGAGAGAGAGGAGAGAGAGAGAGAGAGGGGGAGAGAGGGAAGAGAGAGAGAGAGAGAGAGAGAGAGAGAGAGAGAGAGAGAGAGAGAGAGAGAGAGAGAGAGAGAGAGAAGAGAGAGAGAGGAGAGAGAGAGAGAGAGAGAGGGGGGAGGGGGGGGAGGGGGGGGGGAGAGGGAGAGGGAGGGGGGAGAGGGAGAGGGGGGGTGAGGGAGAGGGAGGTAAGGAGAGAGAGAGGGAGGTAAGGAGAGAGAGAGAGAGAAGAGGAGAGAGAGAGAGAGAGAGAGAGAAGAGGAAGAGAGAGAGAGGAGAGAGAGAGAGAGAGAAGAGAGAGAGAGAGAGAGAGAATGTGATTGTGGCAACACCAGCAAATTTCTACAAAACCGTCAAGCAAAATCCACCCATCCTACCACAATGATTATGTACTACACACACAGCAATATATGATGATCAAAGAAGAGTACTGGTTTGTATACTTAAAGCAGTTATTCTCTGGTAACAGAGCAGTGTATTTCTCCTATATAGTGTGAAGTTGGTATGTAGATTATTTTCTTTTTTGTCATTTCTCAAGGCTTATATTTGTTAGTAGTTATGCTATATCAAGATGGTAACAGATTACACAGACTCCATATCATTTCTCTAAGTAGTCTACAACTCTGTGAAATAACAGTAACATTTTGCTATTAGTGTCATTTTTTAATATTTTCTTATTTGATTTTCAACAATACACCTTGCACTACCAGTAATGGCAGGCAGGAATAGGATCCTGAGCATGGAAATAGTGTCTTGCCTGGAGCATGCTTCTCCAGCCATGGCTTACAGATGGTACATTCTGTCCTTGTTTTCTGGTGGAAATAAGGCAAAAGCCTTTTTTCTAAATGCCCATTGAGTCTCATGTTCCCCATCCAGCCCAGAGCCAAATTTTCCATGACGGCATATTCACATCACCCAAACCTTAGCCACACTTTATCATGACATAAAAAGTCATTCAGCCATATAAAAAAGTTTCTATAGTGTATAAGACTGTACTTACCTTGATACTCTTGGTACTGGAATTCGTCATGATATAGGGCAAGGTATCTTTCCTGATCACATTTCTCTTCTTCTGCCCGCTCCTCTTCAGTCAGTCCTTCCCATCGGTCTCCTCCTCCCCCTGATTCAGCTTCTTTGAGGTCATAGAGAGCTCCACGAACATCATATCTAAGCACAGAATAAAACCATATAATCAATATCCAAATTACACATGCATTGGTATTCAAAGAATAATTAAAAATAATAAGTTTCTAAATTCTTCTTCAAACACTGGATTTATATTATGTTATTTCCAATTACAAGAACATATATAAAGGGACATGTATAAAATTAGTATGTATGTTTCTTTGGTTGTGTGCCATGATGACTCCAAATCCCATGATAACCAGTATTTGTCATAATTTTTCTTCATTCCATATATTAGCGAAATACCCCTTCCTGGGGGTATTTTGCCGTACACATGAAGCATACCTTTCTAACCCCTACCGGGGGAAAGCCCCAGATCCCTTTCCCTGGGGCATTTCCAACAGGAGGCAAGCCCCCGGACCCTTACCCTGGGATATTTCTCCAAATTTCTCCCTTCCCCCAAAATATTTAGCTTACTTAAAAGAGACAGAGGATATAAGTCGGCAGCAACAAGCAGGAAATGGTGCAGTCGCTGTAGTCTATCCTATGTTCAATGCCGCAATTTGAACAATTCAATGTGTTTAGTATAACACCATGAGCACGTACACAATCCAAATATTCAATATCTCCAACAAATTTCAGCATAAAATCACCATACCCATAGTCATAGCCAGCACACAATGTCATTGTCACTTGTTTGCACCAAGGTCGTTAGGGTCGAAATGTCCAGTGGACTCTCAAAATGGGTAGTCAAATCAGTAACGATAGGTTCGTGATATTAACCGACGAATAATTTAAGATATTGTAAATTATCGTTTATCTTAAATCATATATATGAATATAAATAAATATCATGAACATATCAAATACAAGAAATAAAAGAACTCTTATTAAATGTTTTTAATTTACTGGGGATATACAGCGACATCTATGAACTTTTCAGGAAGCTCACAATATTGTTTACATTCGATGAGGTTCGAGATAACGAGGTTTTTCTCTCTCGATGAGGCAACTTTTGAATTTCAAATGAAGCACAACCTGTGAGTTCCCCACAATTTTATTAAATTCACCGACAGTACGAACACTAGTCAATAATACTATTATACTTTCCTCGGTATATGTAGTGCAGACGCCTTAATCAGCATTGCCAAAATGACAACCAACACGAAGTCCTAGGTATACATTAATTTTTTTCTGAAACTTCTCAGTTTATGAACAAATCCAACACTCATTTCCTTCACAAGTGAAGCACAGCTATAATATCAGTCCCAATAGCTGAGGAGGGCATGATAAGTATCAAGGAATGATTGAAGTAAAACTTTCAGTAATTTAGTCATTGCAAAACACATCTATAGTAAATTGAGTGCTGGAAAATCTTCACTTTGCATATTCTGGCAGGATAGGGCCTCAGCCAATATCTAGATCTCTCACAATAATTTCTTACCTTGACCAATGAAACGTGATCGCCAGCCTGCAAATCGTCAAAATCCTCATCAACACTGTTGGTGGGAATTGCAACATACCTTGCAGTATCATGTTACCATGTAAAAGGTAAAACAGCATCATATATACAGCATAGCCATGATGGAACATTTAAATTTCAACTGCTTTCCCTTATGTTCAGCTTCTATTGTTATGCGATTACAAATCTTATTGACTGTAATAGACGGGTCACTTATGTCACATTATGGCCAAGTACAATTCCCATTGGTTCGCTAATGTCATACTCTACAATCTGACTGTTTTATAGCTTTCTTGAATTTGAATCATTTCCTCTTGCCATGGAGCACCTGGAATTATTGAGCTTTACGTCTTCTCTACTACCCTCAATAATAGTTTGCGAAGGAATTGCTACAATAGAAAAGGGTCTTTTACTGTTACATTCTATCCAGACTGTAGAGTATTTGTCTTCTGCTGGGAATATTACATTTTATCATGCGCGGAATACATGATTTTGTTTACAACTGTGTGGATGGATCTGCGGACAGATGATGAAACAAATGCATGGAAAGATCAGAAGAATTTTAAGCGAGGAAGATGATTTAAAAAAGAGCTAAGCGTACACAGAGTTTCCAGAGAACTACATTTGCGCGGACATAATTTGACCAAATAATTTTTGCAGACCAAACTCTGCAGCCTGGCATTCTATCACACGGCAAGCCTCTGATTTTAGTGTTTAGTATCATTTCCAATAATGCCCTAGTTTTCCTCTACTTTCACCAGGCCCTTTCTATACATCTAGCATTCATTTTCAAAGAATGACTTTCATACACCCCAGTCTAGGAAACATAACATTCATTTCAATATGCCCATTCATTCTGTAAATCACCAGTAACAATTAATCCTGAAGAGAAATCCCGGCACCTATACCGTTCAAATCCCGCTTAACAAATGACAAAAGATTATCACACAAAGCTGAAAATATCAAAATACTGTTTTTTTTCCGAAACAGGGCACTGCATACAGACCTGTCAACCATGAGACTGCTATCGCCCATCCAGGGAATCAAATGCTCCCTTTATCCACATATTGAGCCTTCTCATTGTCACGAAACAATTTGCACGAATATCCAAAAACCAGAAGCTCTTCGTGGCCATTATTTGTGTCTTTTGGTCTTCCTTCCCACAAATTCGCCCGAACTCGGACGCCATGTTTTGGAGACCTAGCCGTATTCGATTGCGTGTGTCATGTAGTCCATCATTTTTAATATTTTAAATAATTCTTGGTATCTACATATAATTTGTTGCATTTCTTGTTCATTTTAATATTGCATTATATATTGATATTATAATCTTGCTAACTTCATCCCAGGGGATTAATCATTTGGGATATGGATGCAATATAGTTCGAACAAAGGGAATGCATCTTTTTTTTTCGTAAAAAGGCTCTTTTGGATAATATGACAAGACAATAGTAATCCTAAGCAAAACAAAAAATATGAAAAATAAGAATTTATTAATACAACAATTTACATCTAATATACACATATATACATATATAAATATACAATATGTCTCTATATATATATTCTATATATTCTATACACATATATCTTATATATATAATTATATATATATATATATATATTATATATATATATATATATATTAATATATATATAATATATATATATATATATAATATATATATATAAACATATATATATAGTGACTAGAATCCGCCTGCTTAACTCTACTTAAATGTGAAAAATAAACTATTAGGAAAGATGATACTCTGAGTCGCGATAAATAAAGGGATTACAGCATGTCCTTTTTCTGTTTCTTTTTCTGGTGAGCTGCCGCTATCTCCGGAAAGTTTTACATCGTCTCCTGTACGTGCCATGAAAAGTAACAAGGTAAAACTATTTCTGGCACGAGACGCTGGAGTTCGCCTGGTTGGAAACCCGAATTCACAGGCCCGGAGGATTTTGACGCTGCTGAAAAGGAATGAAGAACAATATATGAGTCTTGCTTAGGCTACTGAAGGCCAAATCTTGGTAAATGGCCATTAAGGGTCCAAGAGCGTTGGGCTGAGTATTCTGAGCGGCATGGTCATCAGTGATGTGGTGATCTTACTGCCTAATCCCGCACCAGCCTTAGGCATCCACTCTGTAAAGCAGTGGTTCCCAACCCATGGTCGCGAACCAAATGAGGGTCACCAGGGTTTTTTTCTGAGGGTCGCCAGAGGGTCTTAAAGAAGAATCCATAGCCGGATATGTCAGTAAAAGTTCATGTTTTTATTAACAGTTGTTTATTGATATTCAATGTGTTGACAATACAAACCTATAAAAGTATTGAATAAAGTAAGCTAATATATATCTGCAAGTATAACTACCGTGGAAATGGTTGGATGTATTACTAGACGTTCACACATAGGGTCGCTGGCCCAGGCTAAAAAAAAAGTTTGGGACAGCTGTGGAGGGAAGAAGGATCGCTCGGACCGCAGTAATCGTTGAGACATTACACTACTTCAGTATACCAGGCAAAGTGCTTGCTTTAATTCTTCTGAGTCTTATTAGAGACTACGTAGTGAGGCCCCAGAAATCATAAGTAATTTAGAAAGTAATTTCTGCCACCTGTCTTTATGCTTCGAGTTAATGCAGAACGCCATCGTGAGTTGGTCCGAGAGCTCGAGAAGGCATTTGACTCAGTTCATCGCGAGTCACTCGAGACTCAGAAAAATGCGAACAAATATTATTGGATTAATTGCAAGCTTTTCTACTGGTACTGGAAGTGCTATAAATTAATCGTGGTGAGGGTAGGTCTAGCTTCTTCCTGTGAATTTGGGAGTAAGATAGGGCCATGTTCTTGCATCAGCCCATTTCAATACATGTGTGGAATTAATGACGAACATATTGCAGCTGGAACAATTATGTTATTATCCTTGAAGTTCTGATGTGACAGATAGAGCAACAGGAACAGAGAAGGAGAGACAGACAGAAGAGAGAGAGAGAGAGACAGACAGACAGAGAAACAGACCGACAAACAAACAGAGACAGGGACACACTGTCTGTCTCTATCTCGATGTCTGTGTCTGTCTCATTGTCTGTGTCCGTCTCAGTGTCTGTGACTGTCTCTGTGCCTGTCTCTGTCTGTGTCAAGTCTTTAAAAATAATGCATCCATAGATCTCTTACTGCAGTTATTTTCAGCGTGTTTTGAAAATGGAATACAACCGAAAATATTCGGCAAAGGAACAATTAATCTCATTCCAAAATCCTGAAGTAACGATCGAAGAATCCCACTCAATAACAGAGGCGTTATGCAGATATCGTGTGTTGGGAAAATGTACTCAGGACCTTTAAATAATCAATTAAGATACTTTCTGGAAGTAAATGGGTTCTGTCGGAAGAACAAAATGGATTCCGTAAGGGTCGAAGTACCACCGAACACATTTTCTCATTAATAACAGTATGCAAAAATCGTGTTAAAGAGTGCTAGCAAACGTTCTGTTTTTTCGCGATTTACAGTGAGCATTCGGTTGTACGGATCGAATTTGCCTTTTTTCAAGATTATTAGAAACAGGTATAACAGGGAAGCTATTCAATGCCATTAAATCATGTTACGAACATGCAACATGTATTGAATTACATGATGATGTAAGTGAGTCATTTGAGAACAATAAAGGTTAGGCAGGGAGATTCATTGAGCCTACTCTCTTCATATTTTCATCAACGACTTAGCGGAGGAAATTAAACGGAGTGGAATCGTGTAGATTTCCATGGTTAAAATCTCACTCCTACTTTATGCAGATGATGCGTGCTTTTGGCTGAGGCTGAATCAGATTTGCAAAACCTCATCTCAGTTCTAATAGCTGGTGTAAACGATGGAGACTCAATGTAAACAAATCGAAAACTCAAATTATGCATATTAGAAAAAAAAAATAGTCACGCTCAAATTTGTTTTTAAATTAAATGACTATGAGGTTTTGCAATATGCATCAGCTTAAATATAGTCTATTGCTTCATGAGCACATGAGCTTCCACCCTACCTACGATTTGTCTGTTAGAGGTTCGAACGCACTCGGATCTTTCTAGCCCATTTCTATGCAATAATGGGATGGGGTTTTACACATTCAAAACATATAAAGTTTGCATAGTAAAAGTATGTGACTATAGTGCAGGTGTGTGGGGATACGGTACCCAAACTCTATGGTGTCCATGGCATACCGTTGGGGTGTTACCTCGGAGTACATAAATATGCCTTTTGGCCACTTTGGAGGCCGAGATGGGTTTCAACCAGACTCTACGTTTCAACTCTCCGCCAGTGAGGAGGAAGTTGGAAATGGTTCGGTTCTGGAACCACGTAATAAAACTTAGCAATAATAGGTTGCCAAGAAAGATATTTGACGTTGGATTTATAAATAAACAGTTGGTGGTCAGGTATCAAATCTATTTTCTGTGAACGAGAATGTGGACATATTTATCGGAATAAAATGATGGTTAATGATATAAAAGGGATACATGACAAACTGAATGATATGTATCAAAGGCATCTACTTCAATAAATCAGTTCAAAACCTAAACTAAGAACATACAAAATCATCAAGACAGATTGTAGTCCAGAGCCGTACGTAATGAAATATGGCTCGGAAGAAGCGCGCTGTTTATGAACAATTTAGGATCACAATTCTTCCATTAAGAATATAAACGGGTCGATTCCTGAATGTACCTTTTCATGAACGCATTTGTGAATACTGTGATGATAAAATGTGACAGAGGACGAAATCCGTTTTCTTCTCGAATGTAGTTTATACAGTGGCCTGAGACAAGAACTGATGCAGAAATGTTCGGAGAGGAACAGAGAATTTATAGATTATATACGACAAAGAATTGAGACTACAATATTTGCTAAATCAACAAATTTTGATGGATTCAATAAATTTCATTACAGCAGCTTTTTACAAAAGAAAATGTTCAGAATTAAAAATAGTATGATCTTAACAGGTTTTGCATGGAGTTTTAAATTTGAATTAATGTTTTATATATATATATATATATATATATATATATATATATATATATATAGTCAGTGTCTATGTATGTTTTATGAAATTGATTTTAGATATATATTTTTTATCAGATAGTGTCTGGGTAAGTCCAAATGGACTAGATACACGCAATTTAATGTATTTGATTGTATTGTTATGTATCTGATTATATGTAAAAAAAATGTATCGTGACACTTTAATAAATAAACAATTGAATTGAATTGTGTCGGTCTCTGTCTCTGTGTCTGTGTGTGTCTGTCTCTGTGTCTGTGTCTGTCTGTTTCTGTCTCTGTGTCTGTCTGTGTCTATGGCTCTGGCTCTGGCTCTGTGTCTGTGTCTGTCTCTATGTCTGTATCTGTCAGTCTCTGTGTTTGTCTTTGTCTTTGTGTCTGTATCTGTCTCAGTGTCTGTCTCTGTCTTTGTGTCTGTATCTGTCTCAGTGTCTGTCTCTGTCTTTGTGTCTGTATCTGTCTCAGTGTCTGTCTCTGTGCCTGTCTGTCTCTGTCTCTGTGTCTGTCTTTGTCTCTGTGTCTATCTCTGTCTCTATCTCTGTGTCTGTGTCTGTGTCTATGTCTGAGACTGTCTCTGTGTCTGCCTCTGTCTTTGTGTCTATGTCTGTGTCTGTCTCTGTCTCTATCTCTGTGTCTGTGTCTGTCTCTGTGTCTGAGTCTGTCTCTGTTTGTGTCTTTGTGTCTGTATCTGTCTCTTTTGGCTGTGGCTGTGGCTGTCTCTGTGTCCGTCTCAGTCTCTGTCTCTGCCCCTGTGTCTGTCTCTGTGTCCGTCTCAGTCTCTGTCTCTGCCCCTGTGTCTGTCCCTGTGTCTGTCTCTGTCTCAGTGTCTGTCTCTGCGTCTGTCTCTGTACCTGTCTGTCTATCTCTGTGTTTCTCTCTGTCTCTGTGGCTGTGGCTGTGTCTCTCTCAGTGTTTCTCTGTCTCTGTGTCTGTCTTTGTCTCAGTGTCTGTCTCTGTCTCTGTGTCTATCTCTGTCTCTGTTTCTGTATCTGTCTCTTTTTCTGTGTATGTCTCTGTCTCTGTCTCAGTGCCTGTCTGTATATATATATATATATATATATATATATATATATATATATTATATATTATATATTATATATATACACAACATATATATATATATATATATATATATATATATATATATGTGTGTGTGTGTGTGTGTGTGTGTGTGTGTGTGTGTGTGTGTGTGTGTGTGTGTGTGTGTGTGTATGTATGTATGTGTGCGCGTGTGCGTGTGCGTGTGTGTGTGTGTGTGTGTGTGTGGTGTGTGTGTGTGTGTGTGTGTGTGTGTGGTGTGTGTGTGTGTGTGTGTGTGAGTTAATAGCAGTTGTAATTAAAATTACTACGAAGATAATTGTGATAATGACAACGATTTAATGGATAATGTGGATGATGTCATTCATAGTAATAAGAACAATGACGGTAACAATAAGAACACCTGTGATAATATCAACAATCTCAATAACAATACAATCTCACGAAAATAACAATGATGAATAATAGTCGCAATATCAATCATGATAATAACATTAATGATAATATTAATATCAATAAGCAATACTTTAATATCATAATCATCATCATTCTATGAGTCATTATTATGTTTCATTATTATTATCATTATCATTATTATTGTGATTACAATGATTACCAATGACAGTATTGAGAGCAACGGCAATAGTTGATTAAAAATTAATAACAAAGATAATAAACATAACAGTAATAACATGTGGTTTGAGTAGAATATATTTGTTTGTGATAAATAACCATAGATAGAACTTTAAATCACACAATGAATAATTGTGGATAACTGAACTTTAAAACATTTTTGCACTTTCTCCCGTCAGTCAGTAAAAACGAATAACAAAGATAATGACCACAGAAGTAATAACATATGGTTTGAGTAGAATATATTTGTTTAATGGTAAATAATCATGGATAGAATTTTAAATCACACAATGAATAATCGTGTATAATAGGACTTTAAAACATTTTTGCACTTTCTCCCGCCAGTCGCATCACACGTTACAACTAAACAATTTCCTTCACCTGACTTTCAACCAATCAAAGGACACCTTTCATTCACATATCAACCAATCAGACAAGTCTTTTTATCCCTGTGCTTGAGAGTCGGCCAATCATATGAGGTCTCTCATCCTCGCGCCAGCCAATCATTGGCGAGAACCTCCAAAACGTCAACAGAACAGAAGTTTAAACCGGCGAGGGGACAAGATCCGTGTACTTACTTTCACAAAAATCCAAATTTAACTGCCAAAGACGTGAGTGTTTGTATTTTAGTTATATCACGAAGATAGAAAACTATTTTAGGGTTGTGGAATATTATAAAAAGTAGGAGGATGTGCGAGTGTTAGAGAAATAACGGATGGATAAGCGTCCTGTAATGACCTCACCATGTTGGAAGAGAGCGGAGCAGCCTTTTAAATCCCCGCTTCGTTAAATTTTTCTTCCATTCTCGAAATTTTATTATTTTTTCTATGATAATGAAAATTCTGTGATCCTGTAAGCCATTTTGCTGGGAGGCTATATTGATAGTAGTTATCATATAAGCAAAGGTAATGTATTTCAACTTTGAATTGTAATATTTTTGAATATTTAATATTTTGGAAAAACAGCTGTTGTTATATCGAAAAGATATAGGCGTTATGCATTCACATATCCATTCTGTACATGCTTTTCTTTTACTTTTCATATAGTATGGAGGAGGGGAATATACTGGTTAACAAATAAGCAAAGGTATTTTAAGGTTCTCTACTAATATGGTTATTCTAGATTTGGAGAAAAAAATGTAGTATAGGACTGCACCCATCAAGTTAATTCTTTATGGTATGGACACACTCACTAGAATTTGTTCCCAACACCGTGTCACAAAATTTGTTCTATAGTCTTAAGTTGCCGTGACTGTGTGTGCCTTTCATGCACTGTTCAAGAGGAGGGTTGATGGACTGGGGCTCTGCCGTAACATCCCCTCAGGAAACATTTTCTTGACCTCAGTATGCATGGCAAGATCAGAGCTGAAACTCAGGACCTCCAAGTGGGCTTAGGCTGTGAGCAGTGTTTTCCGCAATCTTTTTTCTTTATTTGTGAATTTGCTACAGGTTAAGTTTCATACACCCACCTTTTAGACAAAAATATATGCAAACGATAGAGCGAGTGATTATAAGAAATCTATCTTCTATGTACTTCAACTGCAATGGGAACAAATAAATCACATTCTAAATGCACAAGCTAATGCAAAAATTGCAGTGTGATCTAAAAACCTTTTGGCATAGTATGTTTCTCACTGTCATGTAGTACAAGGTCAGATTTGCCTGCAATAGACAGAATGACTTAAAAAAATACTTTTGTTCTGATAGCAGGAAAGGGCATGAAAGGGAAATTGCAGGGTAGAATATGAATAATTTGCACAGAATCTGTTATTATAATGTCCAATGGGTATTTTTTTCTATTACATCTGCATAACAGATTGCAACAATTTCAGTATTGATAGATTCCTCTCACCAACTACAATGCAAATATATAGGTTTTATTGTATGAAAAACCCTCTAACCCCCACATTCTTGGTCTCATTAGCAGGGAAGGGCAAAAAAGGTACCAGGGAAATTGAAGGGTAAAATTTAAATAGACACAGAATCAGTCACTATAATGTCAAATGCAGGAGGCTCTGGCCCCTGCAAACACTCCATGGGGGGTGTAGCTCATTAAACCCTGTGCAGGAAAGCAAAGAATTCTACACATATTCATTGCAGGTGAGAGTGTCAGACACACTTGGCAATGCTGTTCTCGCAAGGTGGTCGAACACACACTCCTGCCGTGAATACATGGAGGATTCTTTGTTTCCCCAGGTAGGGGCTGGGCAGCAGCCCCCCATAGGGGGTCACAGTCTATCGTTAAACTGCATCAGAAAACATAGTGACTAATTCTGTGTACATTATTTACATTTTACCCTGCAATTTCCCTGGTACCTTTTGTGACCACCTCTGCTATTGGGGCCAAGAATATGGGGTTTGGGGGGTTTCTGCACATTGTTTTTATTACATATTGGAAACTAGACAGTGAGAGGAAGCCAGTGATACCAAAATCATTACAATCCATTTTGTGGAACTATTAGAAAAAAATTACCTGTCTATATGTAAGCCCTCTCAAGGGAGTCTACTACCCCAACCCTTGTAATGAAAGAAAAAGAATCCTCCATATATTCATAACAAGGTAGATCAACTAACATGTGGAAGCGCCTAATGCCGTGTCTGCCATATGCTTTATCTTGCCAAACATTTGTAGAGGGTTCTTTGGTAATTGATTACAGTATTGATGCACTCACCAGAGACTTAGTCCCCAATTCTACGTCAAAATTTATTGATCAACTTAAGTTTTGTGACTTCACCTCAATATGCATCGAGCCAAAACTCAGAAGCACAGAGTGGACTTTGTTTGAAATTGGCACTTTCTGTGATCTTTTTCCTTTATTTGTGGCATCACTGTGTGTGAGTGCAGATTATTTCTTGTACTGACGACTGCAGCTTTTTCCCCCTCTACAATAATATCATATTCAATTAGCCCTAACGTAGTGCATCCATACTATAAAGATTAGCCTTTTCTTTTATTGTTAGTTTCCCCTGCCATTTTTCTGTTACTGGGGCCAAGAGTGTTAGGGTTTGGGGAATTTTGCTGCATAATTTCTGTGTCCTAGAAGGTAAGAGAAATCCATCAATACGAAAATTATCAGTTGTGCAAAGTTATTTTGAAAAATTACTGAAAGTTGTGCAACACTAATACTTTAGTATACTTTAACAGAACATGTAATGGCACTATAAGAATCAAAGAGTAAAACTACTCTCACTAATTCACTAATTCACGTGGGTAGAGGTCCGGGAGGCAGAACCACAAACAGGAAAATATGGCAATTAAATGGTGGTCTGGGTGAAGCCCCCAGTTCAGGAAGGATTATGATTTGTACAGTAAAGTTTGTGGATTTCCTAGGAATGAGTGGAGTAATATGGGCTTAATTTTCATAAGCATTACTAATACTTTCATTTATATAATTTTTGATGGAAAATAAGAGATTTACACAGTGCAGCGGGGATAATTGAAAGAAGGAAAGATAATTGCAAGATTGGATGGCTATGTGAAACTAAAAGATTACTGTCATTTCTCTCTAGTTGGTGTTGTTCTTTAGTATACTTGACATGCAAGACTAGTTGACATATTGAAGTAATGGGTTGTATATTCATTGTAGTGCTTGAGACTGAAGCACAAACATATATTCTGGTGTTGCCATTTAGTGGGTTACTTTACCAGAGGGAGTTCAGAATCTTTATGCACAACATACTGTTTATAGATTTATATAGTCATTTAAGAATATGCCTTTGTTACTTCAGATGATGATGGAGGGAGAAGAGAAGGAGAACATGGCCAGAGTTGGTCGAGGGCTGCACAAGCCGCTCACCCACACAGTGTCCAGCCATTCTAGTGGGCCATCTGAATCAACTGGTAAGTAAAGCTTTTATCCTGAACAAGCCTCTTCAACATTAATATTTTTGTTTGTAGTGGTGTTTTTTTTTTTTTTTTTTTTTTTTTAGGTTTCTCTCTACTTTCCATACTTTATAATTCAAATGTAGGCTTGTTTCAAGTGCATTTTAGATAATAGCATTAATATAAATATAAATCTTTGAATGACTTTTTAATGTATACTTATATATTTAATTTCATTGTCAACTTGTAAATACATGAGAAGTATCCATGATTTTGTTGTCTATTACGTTTACCTTGTACTGTATGGCTATAAGAAACTAAATATTCCTATCTTTTCTTGAAACTTATTGTGCTGAGTTTGAAGTACCCTTACTTGAGGATAAAAGTATTTTAGGACAAACCTGATAAAGCTCACAGTTCAATTCAGTGAGATTTGCGATGTCTGCTCACAACTCTAGATAATGTAACGAGGTAATGTTCGGCTCCCCACGATGCTTGCGATACCTGTCAGCAGAAGTAGCCTAGTCTTATTCTGTACAGTATAACTTTGACGCCTCTATTTATTGTTGAAGGAAGTGCCTGGGGTGTCAGAGTACCATCTGGGTGAGGGGGAGGTTCTGGCTTTTTCTGTGTATCTGCTGGAGAATGGCAAGCTCTGTGGCATTGGACCTGCCCCTTTTAAGATTTTTCAGCTTGGGTTGATCATAGAATTTAGCGGCATAATGCAGCCTTTTTTGGCTAGTCTCAGTAAACTCATTCCCTTTGATGTCTGTGGAGGAACCCAATTTATAACGATTCTTGTCCTGAGCAGAATTGTCATTTGATGAAAAAATCTGAAACTTGAAGCTATGATTATTTTGAATAGCTTCTAGTTTACCATGTATTACAGAATAATGTAGCATTAAATGTTATACTTAGTGTTGAGGCTAAGATGAGGTTTTCTCTTTACAGCAAAATCTGTAACACACAAGTCAGTCTCTAGAATGTTGTCAAACCCTATACCAGCCAACAAGCCAACTGCAGTTACTAGGCCTCGGATGGGTCCCCAGGTATCTCGCAAGCCACTAAACGATGATACTAATCAGCCAAGAAGCAAGAGTGAAAATACAGTTTCAACAGGTAGGTTGTTTGGTTAGTTTCATGTGGGTCCATTGATCACTTTAGATAACCAGTTTTATTCTGATGATTGATGTTCATGAGTATGGAATAGTTATGTGGTTAAATTTAATATGTTCTAATGGAGTGAATCTCTAAAGTCTTGTTCCACATATACGTCTTAAAAAGATTCCTCCCTCCCCTACTCCTACCTGTCTTATTTATTGCAACAAAGAAAACCCAGACTTTGGTTTTGTGTTAACTAATGAGACAGCTAAATGAATGACGGTACAGTCTTGGACTAAAGTCCTCGGAATGGTTTTGCATGTATTGTTTATTGCCCATAGATGCCACTGCATTGCTATGTAGTAAAGGGGTGGATTCATAAATGGAGGAGGGAGAGAGATGGAGGCGAGGCACTGGTAATCAGTATCTTTTTTTTTTTTTTTTTTTTTTTTTTTTTTTTTTTTTTTTTTTTTTTTTTTGTAAATATTGCCATTGTATGGAAACCATTAACTGAAAATTGAACAGATTAATAAATGACTATCATTAGCTCAAGTAGACGAAGCAGCAGTTGACGGGCAACGAGATTCTCATCCACTTCAAACAGCAGTAGGCACGAGAGTGGCTGTGGCGGTTCATGCGAGACTGTTGTAAACTCTGTTTGCCTCATGACTGAAATGGATGAAACAGTACAGGAGTGGGAGTTCATTGACGCCTTGCATTTGTCTCGATCTCGTTGATTCAATCACGTTTGAGGAATGTAATGAATCCCAGAACCAACTCTGGCCTCCCTCCTTCTCCATTCATGAATCCGTCCCTTTACTACACAGCAATTGCAGCACCATCTATGGGCAATAAACAAGACACGCAAAACCATTCTGAGGACTTTAGTCCAGACTGTACAAGTCTAAAAACGTAAATGTATAGCAATTATTGCTGAATGTTGGAAGTACCAGAAAATGTCAATTGAATTGAGTGCTTTGATTAGTTTGAAGCCAATATGTGTGTCCTTTAAACCCATTGATGCCCAGATTGCATTTAGACATTCCCTATTACATGCAGAAGTACTTTGTCATGAGGAATTAGTTACTGAGCCTTCGTGATTTCACTGGTTTACCCAATTCAATGAATTTTTATAAAGGAGAAGAAAAAGTGGACGGTGCATGCACCTGGTGCATTGGGTGAAAAACAGTAACCTCATGTTATCCTCTTTTGTTGTTCCCTTCATACCCTATTCATATTGATCCTAAGTTATATTGAAAGAGAAAATAGATTGATGAATAGTAAGGGTGATGAAAGAAGTCAAGTTCATGCACATGAACAAAGCTGTATGGTTTAAACATTTCCACTCATATCAGGGTCAAGCAGTAGCCAAGCAGTGTCACACAAACGGCTGCATCATCACGTTCAAACACCCTATCCTCAGCACAGCGTAACGTCAAAACAGAATCGACACATCCCAAGGGCAATGCTATATCCTCTGCAGGTTTAGTATCTAACTGAAATTTATGTAGTATTGAGTGATCAGAGAAATGCTTTTTTGACTAATTATACAGCTCAGGTTGACAATCCGTTTTTCTATTACAAATTTTCACAGAAGCAGTTTCAAATTTATTTACTGCACAGGCTGCTACTACTGTTTAGAAGTAAATATACAGCTCCAGTAAATATAAAAATGGATGAAGATTTATGAGGACACTGGTGGTGCTGAGTAGGCAGGACCTAATAGGCACTGGGTGTTGTGAACTGGGCATGTATAGTGTTATCCCAGGCCTCAATTTTATCCACTTAGATCTTTTTTGCTCTTTCCCAGTCTCTGCAGGCAGAAGGGCCTGGGACTGACCTGCACTGATGTACTGTTATATTGATTTGTAAAATTGCCAGATATTCAGGGGCATCATTGGAGAAGAATTGCCCACCCCCCCTCCCCCCTCCCCAAGGGCCACACTACACAATGTTTTGCTAAATTACACTTTCAGAGCTCTTGTTGTTGCTACTAGAATAGTTAATTTTGTAAATGAAGAAGAATTGGGGCTTGCAGTGCCCCAATATGCTTGCCAACCTTTTACCCCCCCCCCCCCCAAATGTTGAGTGCTAGATATAGGAAAAAGATCCAGAAAGTGAAAACAAAGTTCAGTATTCTGTCATGCACTCTTGATGTACCTGTGTCTGGTAGTTTCGATTCACATTTAGTTTTATGAATGTGCGGATAGTGATTTTATTCTTTTAAGAATGGATTTTCTAACATCAATTTATGGTGTGCCCCATACAAAATTTATTCAGCAAATTAAGTTATCCAGCACCTTCCAGAGTACAATGATGCCAAGAAACTGATTGTCAACCAGTATTATCATAATTACTTGAGTGGTGGTTATTTTTTTAAGGCTGGATGAGACTTAACGAGAAAATATAGAAAAAAATTGATGGAATATGTTTAGAAATTAAGGCAGTATTGAAATTCATACTTGAAATCACATACTCTCCTTAATACTTAACAAATTTAGTTTAGTTTACAAGTGTAAATGGTCATTTCATATCTTTTATTCAATGTGTGATGAGTTTTCCCCATAGTTCATGGGATGTTGCTATGGCAGTGATTCCCAACCAGAGTTCTGCCGACAAGCTGTAAAATGATGGTGCTATTACAAGATAATAGTGATCTTAATTTATAATTCTTAATACTCAGCACATCGCAAACACTTCCCAGTCACCAACATACTTGTACATGTCTGTCAGTACAATGTATACTGTATAGTAATGAGAGCAAACAAGAAAAAAATTAGTCACTTCATGTACTATAGGCCTGTGTTGGAGTAGCTTGAAATATGAAAAATTACTATAGGGGTTCCTCCAACGGGTAAAGATTGTGAATCACTGCTTTGGCATTAAATGAGAAGTCCACGGTATTGAGCAAATTGTAGTTGTCGTTCATGTTTTATATCATAAATGCCCCATGATTTTATATTTATATATATATATATTATATATATATATATATATATATATATATATATGGATTTGGATGTAGTTAATGTAAAAAGAAATTATACCCCATTAGTTTCAAGTAAATCAAACTCATTTCAGTTTTTTGTGTAAATAAAGACAAAATATTTTAAATAGCATCTTTTTCTGTTATTATTATGATAACTATTACAGCTATTGTTTTTGTTATTGTTACTGTTAGCATAATTATTATAATTATTATTATTGATAATAATTATTATTGTTGATGATTCATTATGATTATTTTTTATTATTCTTAGCATTATTATAATTGTTATTATTATTATTATTATATTATAACTATTTCTATTTCTATTTCTTTTATAGGAATATTGTCATTATTATTGTTTTTACAATTATTGTTATTGTATTAAGTTTAACATCTAAACTATTTTTGCATATGTAGAAGTGAAATGAAAAAAAAAAAATATTCATTTATTTTATTCTGTTTACTCTAGCAATCAAGTTCTGTAACCTTTGTACATTGCAGTGAAAAAAACCATTGTAGCCCGAGTGGCAAGTCATACTCGACCAGTCATAGATAACAAGGCTCCAAGACCACAGATGGGCACTAAAGCAGTGGGTTCATCCACAAGAACTGTAAACCCAATGCACAAACAGGGGGGAGATCACAAGGGAAATGCTCAGCTGAAGTCAGGTAATGATTTCAAAAGATTTTTGGTAATATAATACTCTCCTTCCCCCCTTTTTTTTCTTTTTCTTTTTTTTCTTTTCTTTTCTTTTCTTTTCTTTTCTTTTCTTTCTCTTTGAAGATCCTTTGGGATATTTTTATTTTTTTGTTACTTGTAATGTATTCTGTAGTTATAAACAGTAGAATAAAAGGACGGAACAGTTTTAAAGATTGACTAGGGAATCTAGACAGTTATCTCATTTTTGAATCTATTTTCATTTGTACTTGAATGTATACAAATTTGATATAGTGTTTAGACAGGATTAATCATACTGTATTATCTTTAGGACAAACACATCATAAGACGGGAAGTGCTTCAGAAATAAAAATACCTTCACCACAAATTAACAAGTCTACTGCACCAACAAAGCAAGGTCCAGCATTAGCCAAGGAGACTGCTGCAACAAACACCATAGGCAAACCCTTGGATGATGATCCACGGTCAACAGTAGCCAGTCACCAACAGAAACCTGTAGTACCAGCTTGCCCACAGGAATCCACAACAGTCAGTGAAACCAAAGAACAAAATGAAACAAAGTCTTCCTCTGATCAGCCCGACAGCCAAACAAAAACCCTTCCGGAAGATGTGAAGGGAGAAAATCAAACAAACAAAATCATAGATGATTCTGCTCCCCAAGAAAATACTGCCAAGGGGCAACAGGCAGAGGAATCAGATGAAAAGAAAGATGACTGGGGTCCCGATGAATCAGAACAAGAAAAATCCTCTAAGTATGTTGAATTTTTATTTTTTAGGCCTAAACAAAAAAGTGTTCAAGATTTTTCACCTAGTGTAAAAGCAAATTCTCTTATGAAATTTAGTGTTGGGGTATTAGCCATCCTGTACACACAATACTTATTATGCTCTTATGATCTATATTATCATTTTACTAGTATTTTCACCAAGAATGAAGGTTTTTAGCCAGTTTCTCGTTTTAGCAGGTAATATGGGTAGATGTTGCTATGACAAATATATTTGCCCGTTAAAAGTTGATTGCAAATTTGTGCATGAGTGGCTGCTGAAAGGGTAGAGTTGAGTAGATGCATGCATTTTTGTAAGTTAACATGCCACTGAAGATTAAATGCTACTTGAAATAGAAAATAATATTCCTACTAGTTTGCTAAAATTAGGTATTCATTGATAAGTGATGTGAGAGCTGGAGCTTTTTCTTTGTCTTCTTCTTGGCCTAATGGATACCAGCCTATGTATCTATATATTTTTTTTTTGTAAATATACCTGTATGATGTCTATTTCATTGCCTAGTTTTGGCAAACAAGTTCTTGTAATACATCACTGCATTGCTTTCAGGAGACAATGGGTATTGGATGATTTCGAAATTGGCCGTCCTCTAGGGAAAGGCAAGTTTGGTAATGTGTATTTAGCAAGAGAGAAGAAGACACATACTGTGTTGGCTTTGAAGGTTAGTTGCACAGTTTTTTTTTTATTCTTCCTAAACTAGTCCAAATAATAAATATCTTTTTAATGGATTGCTTGGAAGACTTGCATAAACAATCCATGATGTAAACTGTGTTTGTGTGTGCACGTGTGTGGATGTATGTACAGGTGCATGAGAGTGAGTGTGTGGATGTATATGTACAGGTGCATGAGAGTGTGTGTGGGTGTAGATGTACAGGTGCGTGTGTGGGTGAGGGTGTGTACATGTGTGCATGCATGTGTACAGGTGTGCGACTGTGTGTGGGTGTGTGCAGGTGTGTGCGTGCCTGACTTCATGAGTCTGTAGATAAGGTGTTGCCAAATGAAATGCAGTAGACAATGGACTGAATTAATGTAGCTTGTAAGGCCAATATTTTAATTGTGTGTGTGTCTTGGTGTTAAGCCTATTTATCATTTGGCTGAATTAAAAAGAAAAAAAAGTTGAAAGTTGTTTCCATAACCAAGTGGACATAGGGGACATGTTCATAGAGCAACATTGTTACTAAACCATGGGATGATGCAGTAGGGTAGCCAGATCATTTTAGTAGTTATTCATTACCTGTGTTTACATATCATTAAGTGTATCAATATTGCACAACCTTATACTTTTCATTTGTGCAGGTGCTATTCAAATCTGTGCTATCGAAGGCAGGAATCATCCACCAAGTGCGCAGAGAAGCAGAGATCCAGTCCCATCTAAGGTAACAAATGAGGTTGTTGATTTCATAAACCATATCTAGAATTGTGAGAATAAAAAAGCTATTTCAGGAAATGGGTGGAACACTAACATGTTTATATACATATGCAAAATTGGGGTTGCAAGTGATGCAAAAGGTGTACATTATAATGCTTCCTTTTTACCCCCATAGACATCCAAATATTCTTCGAATGTATGGGTATTTCCACTGTGAGAAACGTGTATACCTCATGCTTGAACATGCACGATATGGAGAGATGTACAAGGTGCTTTGCTCGCAACCCAACAAGCGCTTTACTGAACACCAAGCTGCAAACTATATTGTACAGGTAATTACGTTGAATGGTTATCACATGATCAGAATTTGGTAATGTCAGGCCTTTTTGTTCATAGATGTTGCATTGTTTGTTATATACCAGGTAAGGGGATGGGGGTGAGCAGAATACATTGGTTGTCCAATTCCACTTTTGGGAGAGAATAAAGGTTAAGGAATTTACCCTGGATAATGATATAAAGACTTTGTAACTTTGGACTTCTGACTGCTCTTTAATTATTCTCACAACTCTAAACTAATGAAAATGCTTGACAATATTGTTACCTTATACTGGTAGAGAAGCCGCCCTCTTTCATAGCTTAGCAGCTAGATCAGTTCATATACAGTGTTTGTGTTACTATCTATTTATTTACAAGTTAATTTTGTAATAATTTTTGTAGATTGTGATTTTAAGGCATTAGCAATTTAGATATAAAAATGTTAAAGCATGTTTCACAAATTATTGAGTAATGGCCAATACAATTATTGAAGCTTATCCTGTATGACCTTTTGTAGGAAATATATTAAAAAATTGACATGCCACCAAACGTGATCACAGAGGCAGTAAGCTTCAGTTTGGTTGGTTGAGAAATAGTCCATATCATTGTATAATTCAAAGACATGTTTATATATGTGTAGATTGTATGTGAAGGAAATGTAATGCTGATAGAATGAACTAATGAGTTGGTGTCATTTGAAAGACGTGTTTTCTGCTGAACCATTTTCTTTCTTCCTTTCTCTTCTCTCCATTGGCAAAGGGTGAAATCCCATTACAGCAAGGCAAAAGTTCTAGATCCTGGAGAACACCAAATTATGTTTGGAGTCATGTTTCAAGTGCAGGGATAATGTCTAGTGTGCCTGAGTGAAGCCTGGCAGTTGCTCAATAATGTTGCTTACTACTGTATGCTTATCCTTCCCAGCCTTATATGATCACTTTACAGATTGGCAGTTAGCTAATATTCAATCTAAAATGCTATTATGGTAGTCAATTAAATGTAGGTTTTCAGTCTATAACATTACTGTACAGAACACCAGGTGTGGTTATAAACTGTGAATAAGTGTATAGTAGGAACATGTATGAACCAATCAGCCACTTGGCTTTATAGGAAAAGAGTGACTTCTCATCCAGTTGAGGGTGAGGCTAGTATAAGCCTTTATTGACATATGCCTCAGACTTGACATGATATTAATAATTGTTGCAATAATGAGAGTAGTGATAATATATAACATCAACAGTAATAATGGTAAGCATTCCATCACATTCTGTTGGCTAGAGAATTTGTGCCATTATTCACTGTCTGGGTTACACTGATGTATGTATGTATGTGTGTCTGTTAGTGTATATAATTATGTATGTAGATGAACATATATAAAAATATATATGTATATATACATGTATATCCATACAAATATGTAATATATATGTGATATTGTCCAGAGCTACAATCCAAAGTCATTGTGGAGCAACACTGGGCAGTATCAAGGTCACTGACCTTGACTTGCCAAGGTTACTACCATATCTGTGAAATCTCTGGTGGTGGCTCTTGATGCATTCAGTAATGAAGCAAGTCCCTGGTCTTACAGGCCTCCTGTACCAAGACCAAGATCCAGGATTTGGGGGATCTATTAGGGGAATTGTCCAGTTGATACATGCTTGTGGCAAGGGCATAGAAGTCACAGAGCTTTACATATCCAGACCAGACCAGGAAGTCAGTTGATGGATTGGTCTGTCAGTAGGAGTCATGACTTAGTCAACAAGAGCATTTGAGGTGCCTTTACCTATGCAGAAGGACTAAGTTACATGTATTCAAGACTTGATTCTACCAGTTTTTGCTCTATGATAGCAAAACCTGGATGCTATATAGTGCCTTGGAGTCATGCTGGATCATGTGGTACAGTTGGTAGGACAATGTCTCCAGCCAACAGCTACATAGTGAGACTGGCATGGGACATGTTACTAACAGAATCTGTGACTGCCAACTCAGGCTATTGGGGCACTTAACTTGTTTCCCTGTGGATGATCCTGCCCCATTAGGTTGGCTATTTACAAGTGCGTGGATGACCTAGGGAGTCATGGCTTAGGCACGTGAAGAGCTTGGAGATGAGCTGAGGACCTGCCTGGCAGCATGCCATAAGGGACCCTTGTGGTTAGAAGTAAAAGGTGGCTGCAGCTGTGTGTCTATCAGCAGCAGCCACATTGTCTGACTGATTGAATGTTCTAGTTAGGTCATATGGCTTAATAGTTTGGTTGTGCTCTCTTTGGTGCTTGCCTCCCTGTGAGAGTGGGTTCCAATCTGTGCCAGGGAAGATGTATAAATCTTTAACAAAACACAATGAGGCATTCTTTTTGGTCATCTGTGTTATTCATTGCAACAAAAACTGCTATTGAAATTTTCTTCAGACTTTGCAAGGATGTGCATGCTCTCTCTCAAATTTGTTTGATTATATTTTTTCTTTGATATTTAATCATTCATTCATCTATCCCCAGCTGGTTAGTGCTCTCCAGTACTGCACTCCAAGAAAGTCATTCATCGTGATATCAAACCTGAAAATATTCTAATTGCTGGAAATGGGCAGTTGAAGATTGCAGATTTTGGATGGTCTGTTTATTCCCCTAATGAGAGGTTAGTTTGCTTCTTATTGCTTTTAAGATCAAAATTAGTTTTATACATGTACACACACTTAATCTCTCTCTCTCTCTCTTTCTTTTCTCTCTCTTCTTTCTCTTTCTCTCTTTCTTTCTCTTTCTTTCGTTCTCTCTCTTTTTCTTTTCTTTCTTCTCTCTTTCTCTTTCTCTTTCTCTTTCTCTTTCTCTTTCTCTTCTTTCTCTCTTTCTCTTTCTCTTTCTTCTCTTTCTCTCTCTTCTTTCTCTTTCTCTCTCTTTCTTTCTCTTCTCTCTCTTTCTTTCTCTTTCTCTCTCTTTTCTCTCTCTTTCTATCTATTATCTATCTCTCTCTTTCTTCTCTCTTTTCTCTCTTTCTCTCTCTTCTCTTTCCTCTTTC